CCCCCGGTTCTTCCACCCTCGGTTCTTCCACCCTCGGTTCTTCCACCCTCAGTTCTTCCTCCCCCAGTTCTTCCACCCTCAGTTCTTCCACCCCCAGTTCTTCTACCCCCAGTTCTTCTACCAAGCCCAGTGATTGCAAGAGGGCAGATGGCTGCAGGCAGATGCAGGCCGCTTTGCCGCTATGCTGCCAGCGGGCATTGCTTCGATGGGGAGAGATGTTTGTATCTCCATGGTGATGTATGTGACCTGTGCGGGCTGCAGGCCTTGCACCCTGTGGATGCTGTCCAGAGGGAAGCCCATATAAGTGCCTGCATTGCAGCACATGAGAGGGATATGGAACTCTCGTTTGCTGTGCAGCGCACTGTGGACAAGGTGTGTGGCATCTGCATGGAGGTTGTCCATGAGAAAAAGGAGCCTGGCCAACGCCGCTTTGGTATCCTTTATGGCTGCAACCATACCTACTGTATTACCTGTATTCGTACATGGAGAAGTGGCACACAGTTTGCAAAAAGAATCAGTAAATCCTGTCCACAGTGCAGGGTCTCTTCCAACTTTGTCATTCCCAGTATATTCTGGGTGGAGGGTAAGGAGGAGAAGGAGCAGCTTGTTCAGGAATATAAGGAGTCACTGAGAAATAAGCCCTGCATGTATTTTGCTGAAGGCAGGGGTTACTGCCCATTTGGAGAGCACTGTTTTTACAAGCATGAGTACCCCCCTGGCTGGGGAGGGCACTTTCCTGGGCCAGGTAGTGGATCATCCACTGCATGCTGGCACCAAATTTTGGAGCCCGTGCAGGTGCGAGAGAGGTACAGGCTTTCTAAGAGCATTAAAAAGGAGGCTTTCACACTTCGCCTGGCAAATCTGTTGCTTAAGAAGCTTCTTGCACTGAGAAATGGTATTCCTTTCTCTGATGACCAGTGGCTTTTGTTTTTTTATCAGCTGGAAGACTATTTCAATTTGAATCTGTAGCATCATGCTATGGCATGTGGTGTAGTCTCCTGAGGCTCTGACCTCTTCTGTTGCCTTTTCTCCCTTTACTGACTGACATGTATTGTTTTCAGTGTTATTGAGACATTCTTTATTCAACATTTCTCTCTGTTCCTGCTCTCCCTTTATTAACTGACACATGTACTGCTTTCAGAGCTATTGGGGCAATCTTTATGCAGTGTTTCTCTGTTTTCTTGTGTAATCCTTCTTCATTCTCTCTATAGTATTATGGTGTTTCGCTGTGTCAAAAAACAAAAAGTCCTTAAAACTATTGTTGAGTCAAATTAATATTGCTATCAGTTGATGGCTTGTTTTGTCATATGTGTTTTCAAAAGATTCACTCAAACATTAATATTGCTATCAGTTGATGGCTTGTTTTGTCAAGTGTGTTTTCAAAAGATTCACTAGTGTAGTGTTTACAGAATTTCCACACTCATTGTGAAATCCCTCAAGAATGTGAGAGGGTAAAAGTGTCTTAACTAAATTATAAGCTTTTTGCTACAATAGCCTTAAAAAATGGACACTTTCAGGTCCTTGCTGCTGCTGTCTGTTTACACGCCTGTTTTTTTCCCTCCTTCCCTTCCAAGTGCACTTGTTAACTTGTGGTTATATTGTGCTTTCTGCTGTACTTGACCAAAGCCGAGTGCATATGTTTACATGTTTTTATTCTATTTAGCTTAATGTGAAATTATTTATATTTGGAAGTATACATTTGAGAATGATATAATATATATGTGGATAAAAGTTATGTATTTGAAAAATATTCAAAAGAATATATATGCCATAATATATATGTTTGTGTAATTAAAATAAATGCAGAGTTGAAAACGAAAGGTTAAAGGCTAGCAGTGTGGGATGTTGTGTGAGTAATATGGACACTCTCTCTGCTCCTGCACAGATGTCAGTAACTATCAGCTATTCAAATTGTCTACAGCCAGATCTACCAGACACAGATCTTAACAGACATAGAAATCATGACCTTGCTAATTTCTGTGACACAAATATATATCTCTGCCATTATAAATACAAAAATGTTCCTTCCAATGCAGCAAATCTTGGGGTCAGATACACAATTATTTGCATTCAATGTTTTATAAATACCTACCAAGATATCAGTTTCTAGATTTTTCCAAGCAAGGGGATTTTGTAAGAAATTTTCATTATAAAATGAACAAGATTATAAAAGAGCAAACAATAAAAATGCAGAAACCAGAATAAAAGAATGGAAAGATACAAGAATAATATCTAGAAAGGAACAAAAGCTAAATTAACATAGAAAATGTATCATACAGATAAACCATAATTTAATTAAGTAAAAATAGTTTAAAACTAAAATCAAAAGGTTATCAGACTTTCTTACAATTAAAATGAAATAATCTATTTTAAATGCACATGTATAGTATCAAATATGAAAGCATTAAAATTAGATGGGCAAAATTAACAGGATAGGTATTGTGACTCTCTTTATCAGAGACAAAGTTTATATTAAGGCTGAGAGGGGCTGGGGATTTAGCTCAGCGGCAAAGCGCCTGCCTGGCAAGC